CGTGTGATAAATAAACTATGATAGGACATAAATATCAGGCAGATATAAACATCCTGTCTTCAAATATACAGAAAAATCAAAAGCAACAGTTACAAGTGGTACTCAAGTCTGTGAGCACTGGAGGAGCATCCACCAAGTCTAGGATGATGAAGGACTTAGAAAAGTTGCCAAAGGAAAGGAGATTGGGGGAAAATAGGAAAATAGCTCTAGGTTTGGTAACAAAACAAGCCCAAAATGTGAGCTAGGCTAGGAAGGGACCACAGTAACCTCCTGTAACGGTTAAACTGGTGGTCAACTTATTGGGTCTGGAATCAATCAAGAGATGTGTCTCTGGGCAAGTCTTTGAGGGCATTTTCTGGAAGGATTAACTAAGGTAGAACAGCTCTGGGTAGCACCTTCCACTAGTGGCCCAAAGATAAAGGGCTGAGGGAAAAGAAACATTGCTTTTGTCTGTCTGCCTTCATTTCTTGCTGGGAGTGCATCTACCCTGCTGATGCCACTGCCCCTGCCATCCTTCACTGACAATGGAACCCAGCTTCTTAGGATTTGATGTGGACTTCTCCAGGCCTTCTTGGACCACTGAAGCATCCAGCCTCGTGGACTGTGCAGTCACTGGCTTCCCAACCTCTCCAGCATCCAGATGGCCACTGCTACACTACTCAGCTTGTATTATGTAAGCCAATCTAATACATCCCTTCTGTAATATATATTCAGTCTGTCGCTTCTGTTCTTCTCGAGAGCCCTGATTAATATACCACCTGGGGTTAATTAGAGTGCTGGTCTAGCACTCCCCGGGCACACCCAAGTCCTAACACTCTATAGCTCCAAGCCAACATGTCAGAGGCAGCCAGAATGAGTGGCCCAAAGGCAGAAAGGAGCTTCTGGAAGAATTATTACTATTATATCCTCTGCAGTGTCAGGCATCCCTGGAAATCATAATGTAGGTGAGTGGATATGCCCTTCTTCCTCTATTAAGAGGTATCTTTTCAAAGAACTAAGAGTATCTTTGCTAATTTACTGTCTCAAAAGTACACAAGAGGAAAAGTGTCCATGAAACAGAAGTAATTAATGAGTCTTTAAGGAAAGATTACCTCTCATTCTTTTGTTTCTTTAGGTCCCCACAGGTGATTATTTGTTTAAAATGAGAGAAAAAAAATCACAGAGAATTATGAATTTATTGAAAAATAACTTCTGTGTGCAAAAGCTTTTTTAAAAAATTTTTACAAAAAATTTATTTCATACATGCATATGAGGTGTTTTGATCAAATCCATGCCCACTCCCTCCCCTCCAACATTCCCCCCT